TGATCAGCCGGTCCGGGGGCAGAGGAAGCTACACATTGGACACCATGGATGGGAAGCAAATACCACGACAATGGAATGTTCACCATCTCCGAAAGTATTATCCATAATGCTTCCTCATGACTACTAGAAGTTTCAAGTTTTGTACTCAGTTATTTTCATTTTCGAATAAAGGACTGTAATCTTATGAATATCAATATAAGTTCAGTTTCTCATTCCAAAATGTCTTATCTGCCTACAAAACACAAGCAGTTGCCCATAAGCAGCGTCCTAAGGGAGACGCAGGGCGACGACCAAAGCGTCCTTCGGGAGACGCAGCCCGTAAAAAGCGTCCTAAGGGAGACGCAGGGTGCGCCAGGAATTTCTTAAAAGGAGGTCTCCATGCCTTCTGCGGGAAGTATCCAGGTTCCTATCCGTTTCCTAAGGGAGGCAGGATAGACACGCAGTTGCCCATAAGCAGCGTCCTAAGGGAGACGCAGGGCGACGACCAAAGCGTCCTTCGGGAGACGCAGCCCGTAAAAAGCGTCCTAAGGGAGACGCAGGGTGCGCCAGGAATTTCTTAAAAGGAGGTCTCCATGCCTTCTGCGGGAAGTATCCAGGTTCCTATCCGTTTCCTAAGGGAGGCAGGATAGACACACAGTTGCCCATAAGCAGCGTCCTTCGGGAGACGCAGGGCGACGACCAAGGCATCCTAAGGGATGTCCAGAATACGCCCGGAGCCTCTTAAGGGGGGCCCTGGCACTCGCCAACTTCCTAAGGGAAACCATCCTAAGGGATGTGCAGGACACGCCCGGAGCCTCTTAAGGGGGGCCCAGGCACTTGCCAACTTCCTAAGGGAAACCATCCTAAGGGATGTGCAGGACACGCCCGGAGTCCCTCAAGGGGGACCCTGGCACTCGCCAACTTCCTAAGGGAAACCATCCTAAGGGATGTGCAGGACACGCCCGGAGCCTCTTAAGGGAGGCCCTGGCACTCGCCACTTCCTAAGGGAAACCATCCTAAGGGATGTGCAGAACACGCCCGGAGTCCCTCAAGGGGGACCCTGGCACTCGCCAACTTCCTAAGGGAAAAACATCATACGAGATGTGCAGAATACGCTCGGAACCCCCCAAGGGGAACCCTGTCACTCATAAATCTCCAAAGAAGAAGTGCAATTAAGACTGAAGCTGATTACTTAACAGTTCACAGGTCGATATGCAAATTGAAAGTTGAGAGTAACAACTGAAATTTCCATAACAATATGACCAACCGGCCAAGTTCAACAACAAGAATATGGTCAAAAAAGACCAATTATTCAAAACAAGAAAGCAAACTACAAAAGCTGAAAAGAAATAAAGAAGTCTTCATCTACTCTGAGGCGCCGGCAGGAGACCTATGAGTCGCAGCCTCTTCGGCATCCACCTGATCAGCTATGCCTTCAGCAGCCTCATCTGCCATCATCTCATCTACTGTGTCCACCTCCCCTCCATCCTCTCCAACTTCTTGCTCTTCAGTTCCTCCTTCTGCACGGGGTGAATCAGGGCAGAGTGTCTCGATGTCTACATCGTCAATCGCATACAAGGGAGTAACCTCATCCGCACAGTGCAGGTAGCCCAACTTGTACGCGTCTATGATGGCTTCAGACTTGGATTTTTCTGCGGACTTGTGGTATGCGTGAAATCTAGCCAGGAGCTTGTCATGGCTAAGGGAGATGTCAGCATTCTTACGCTCAAGACTAAAGAAGGCATCTTTGCGACTAACCAAATCAGTGGCAAGAGAGTTGAGCTCAGAATCCTTCTCGGTAAGGGAGCTTTTCAGCTCAGAAATCATTGCCCTCAAATCATGCGTCTTCTTCTCATAACGGGCCTGCTCGGCAGCAAGATGGCTGGCCAATTCAGCATTCTTCTTCTCCAGCTCGCTAAGCTGAGCAGAAGAGGGGGCAACAGCAGATGAGTTCCGAATGGTCTCTGCAGCAAAAACCAATCCTTTTTGAATCAGATGGAATGACGCTTCCCTTTGTTTTTCCAAGGAAAGGCTCGAGAAAGTGCCAAGATCGCCTGCCTGACGAATGTGATCAACCAGCTCAGCACATGAAGACGGGTTCGATAGGAAGTTCGTCTTGAGCAGATCAGACACGCATGCATCCCCCGCAGGGTTAGACTTATCCACCTTGGGACCAACCGCCGTCGCTGAAGAAGAACCCTTAGCCCGAGCAGATGACTCTCTCATCTTCTTAGCCTCCGCCAACTTCATCTCCAAAGGAGTCAATGATACTGAATCAACTCCACGCTTGACTGCCCACGGTTCAACAGCTGGATCATAAGCAGACCTCCCACTTCGATCTCCATCTTTCGACCGATGCAGACGACTCGAACTTCGAGGAGGAATGTCTACATCTCTTTGACGCTCAGCAGAACTAGGCCGGGCACGAGCTGTCTCACGAAGCATGTCATGGTTTTCGAGCGTGTCGGCAGGAGGCTCGGGCAGAACACCCCGAGCACCGCGCATACCACCAACCTTCGTGCTATCTGCACCCACGAGATGCTTGACCCTGGCAGATGATGACGGAGCAGACCCCACTTGAGCCTTCTCAGCAGAAGGGAGCCTTGGCTTCTTCCTCGATGGAGACCCATTCTTGGCATGCGAAGAAGTGGCTTCACCTCTGGAAGATTTGCTAGCAGCCTTTCTCTTTGGTGGAGATTCAGCAGAACACTCTTCCTGTACTGTAGGCAGATCGTCAGGGTCAGGTCCATTCTGCTTCCACCTTTCGACATCCTCGGCAGGGGGCAGACCACCATCTACCTCTCGGTACTCGCTCAACAGCCAGCGCCACTCGCGAAACTTTTGAGGGATGTTCAAAGCACGACGGACCTTAGCCATGTCTGGTCCAAGCTCCAATTGCTTACTGATGTCATTCACTATAAGCAGAAGACAGAAGTTAGTCAACCACACTTTAAGAAATTCAAATAAAAAGGAACATATCAAAAGTCACAAAAGACATACCAGGGCAATAGGTGACGGGAACAAGTGGGCCGTCACGAACGTCGCCTTCCCACCGTCCGCTAACTTCCAACACGTCGTCATGCCAAGCGTGATCTCCCTGACTGAGACCGTCGAACAGCTTGGTCTTGTAGGTGCGAACTTGGGCATACTGCTCAAAGTGCCTCACCTCGAAAAAATAAAAGAACTCACGCAATGTCAGCTCCAAAGTGAAGAAACGGCTCAGATTCTCGAAGCACATGATTGCCCGGTAAACGTTGGGAGTACACTGGCTCGGAGCACACTCCATGGCGCAGAACACCTCCTTGAAGAGCTTCGACAGTGGGAATTTGAAGCCCAAGGAAAAGTAAAAAGGACGGAAGGTAATGACCCTAGCGCCGGGATCATTCGCATCTACCAAAGGCTTGCTATCAGCCCAAGACTTCAGTAGCTTGACCTGCACGTCATCTGGAATGGCAGATGTGAAGGCAGCCCGCCACTTCTGGAACTGAGCATCGGTCGTCACGCGGTGCAAGTTGGCCACGAATTTCTTGCTAGGCACTAAGGAGCCTCCCCACAAGTATAAAGGTGCTTGAGAGCTTGGAGCCTTGCTACCGTCCCCGGAAGACATAGTTGGTCAACGAGTGGCTGCCAAAAAAGAAAGAATTCTACAAGTTAGAATACCGGAAAAATTCGCAAGTCAAAAAAAAAAAAAAAAACAGCAGCAACAAAAAATAAAATGAAATTCGGGCTGCTTGGATCAGCCCAAGCTGAGAGAAGGATAGCCCAGCAGGTGCTCCAGCGCAGGGCCCAAGTCGCACCAACACCAGTCAGCGCGCAGCCCAGCACCAAGTCCAGCACAGAGGCCCGCCTAACGCCTGGCCCGTTCGCTCCAAACAGCAGCTGGCGCGGCCCAAGTCTCGCGCAAGGCCCGACTCCAGCGCGCAGCCCGCTCCAGCACCAGCGCAAGTGGCCAGCTTGCTTAGCGCAAGCCCACGTCTCACGCTGGCCCAATTCCGCTCAGCTCCAATGCAGGCAGGGCCTGGAGCCTCCAGACCTCCAATTCGAAGCCCAGCGCACGCCAGCTCGAGCCCACCTCGCATGCCAGGCTTAGGCACCTCCAGACCTCCATGCTCCAGCCCCAAAGCATGCAACTTCAGACCTCCATGCTCCAGCCCGTGGGCACATCTCACCAAACCACGCCCCATGCCTCACAGCTCCAATGACCAGCTAGAATATACGGACCAAAGTGCTAAAAGTCAGAGGCACAAAAATTCTTCTAGGCTAATTACCTTGGATGGACAGCAAAGATGAAGTTTCAAGCACGCTGGGAAAGCTCTCCAAAGTTTCTCTCTCTCTCACTTACAGAATTGGTGGAATAGACTTTTGATGTGAAGAATAAATTGGAAGAGCCCCTACATTTATAAGGATCAAAATTCCTTGACCTACAAGGAATCGCAAACTCTTTCCAACTTAGGAGTTCATAAAATTGGCAAGTCAAATACCTCCTCTACTCAGGAGCCCAGGTCCACGAAGGAAGCCCAGTTACAGCTGGACAACCCAACGAAGCAGTTACATCTCCTACATGCCACCACGCGCCATGCAGAAGCTGGGGGGCATTTGTGGTAACCAAATTAAGCCAAAACCCTAGGTCAAATAATTCATTCCATTTGGGGATTATTTGACCTAATTGGGAATTAATTAACCTAATTGGGAGTTACTCAATTTAATTGGGGGTTACCCAATTAAATTGAAGACTACCTAATTGGGTTGAGAATTGATTCCTAATTCCTACCCCGATTCCCATTAAATGAGGAGTTACCTAATTGAAATAGGATTTGATTTGATACCTACCACAATTAGGGATTTGATTTACCCTAATAAATCAAATCCCTAATTAATCAAATCAATTCCAAAAGGGGAGGAATAATTCCCTTCCATCTACGGAATTATTCCTCTGAAACCCTAGCCTCCAAGACCATTATAAAGCATAGCCACACACAATGGTGAGGTACGTCTAAATTCCTACTGAAACTCTGCAGAAATCATTTCTCACAAACCCTAGCCACCACTTTCTTTCTCTCCCTTACACAAGGCTCCGGCCACCACACACGGCTCCGGCCACCCGGTTTTCCTTGAAATACCTTACCTAACTTAGGCATCGGAGGGCCTTTGGCCAACACCCCCCGGGTGTGGTCCTTTTACTTCGATCTGTTTTGCAGAGAGAAAGAGAAGCGGAGAAGACGAAGGAATCTTTGACGAATATTCTCGTGGGGAAAATCATTCCCTCCAATAAGCAAACTCCATTGTTGAACTTGGAAATGTTCCTCTAATTTGGTTGTGGGAGAGATTTATAAGGACAGCTGTACATGACAAACCCCCAAAACCAACTTGGAATGATGTCAGAAATTGTAGTGTTAGAGATATCAAGGGATGAATAATTTTTCTGAGTTTGAAGCCATTGTGGGAAATATGGACCCATCTTGCAAGACCACAATATTATGACACTCAATTGAAAAGGAGGAACCCAATCAGAATGGAAGTTTAAAACTAGTGAGTTGGAGGATAAATCCAAATATTTTAACTTGGAGAGTTTTGAAAAATGAGTTTCAGAAATCACCCCTTCCAAAGAATTCTTACCAAGATTGATATTCACCAGATTGGACATTTGTCCAATACTTTCAGGTATTCTCCCGCTTAATCGATTTCCGGAGAGAGATAATCCTGTCAATGATTGCATTTGCCCAATACTTGCAGGTATTCTTCCGCTTAATTGATTTCCATAGAGAGATAATTCTGTCAACGATGATATTTGCCCAATGATTTCTGGTATTTCTCCGCTTAATCGGTTGTTAGAGAGATACAAACCTTCTAGTTGCTTTTGAGAACATTTAGACAATATCTGAACAAACTTGGGAAATTCTCCACTAAGATTATTGTTTGAAAGTCCTAACGATCTCAAACTGCATAGCTCCGAAAACGAATTTGTTATGTCTCCTTCAAGTTGGTTATCAGTGAGATTAAGGACTTGAAGAGAGCTCATGTTGCCCCAAACATCCATAGCCGAACCTGCAGTCCTTAATTATTAGTTATTACATAGCTTTTCTGCATATATAATTAGCAATATATAGTACGTAGTTAAAGTCATGCTGCAGCAAGCCAATCATTTAAATTAGAACTAATCGTACCTTGCAAAGATTGGGATCCAAGCTGAAGTTCAACAACCTGGCCAGTTTGGTTGCTGCAGTAGACTCCTTTCCACGTGCAACAATCTTTGTTTTGGCCTTCTGAGGTGCCCCATGTAGAGACTATTTGACTGCTGGTATCCACGACGAGGCCTTGTTTGAATGCAAGGAGGGCTTGTCTTTCCCTCTCTATGCATCCATTTATGAAAGGACTCATGTGCAGCAAAGGCACCACAAAAGCATACCAGAGTTTGAACCACCTTCTGAGGTCAACTATGGCCATCTAAGTGAGGGAGGGAGAGGAATAGTTGACAGAGAGACAGGGAGATAGAGCTGGAGAGAGAGATGGACGGATTGAGGTTGTGGTTTCTATGTTGCAGATAGAATTAAGGAATAGTAAACGTTATAAAGACGAGAGAGAAAGAGAGAGGACATTAGACTTCTTTCACCTTATGTCTTTAATCCTTTTACAGATACAAGAGATGAGCTTTGTCTAAGGAATTGCATGGGTTTATTTACTGATAGTACGTATCAAAACCGAGTAGCCCAATCTTAGGCCCAGTTTGGGATTGCTGTCACTTTTAAAAAAAGTTGCTTCTGCTGTGCTTTGAAAATAATTAGCTGTAAAGTAAAGCAGCTCCGTGTTTGGTAAACAATATTTTTAAAGTGCTGTTAGTACAAAAAGCAGTGTCAAAACCGTTTGGTAAGTTTTAATATAAAATTGTTGTAACTGTGAATAATGACTAAAATAGACATGATGTTAAAAGTGTTATGTACTAATCATATGGTAGTAGTGGTAGTGATGGAGTGGAGGTGGTGGTGGTAGGGATGGCGCTTGTGGAGGTGGTGGTAGTGACAGCATGGTGGTGGAGGTGGCAGCATGGTGATGGTGGTGGTGTTGGTTGTGGAGGTGGTGGTGGATGTGGATGTTTTGAAGGAGGTGGTGGTTGTGGTGGTGGTGGTGGTGGTGGAGGTGGAGGTGAAGGTGGAGTTGGTGGTGGTGGTAGTGGTGGTGGTGGTGGTGGTGGTTGTGGTGGTGGTGGTGGTGGTGGATGTGGAAGTGGAGGTGATGTTATTTTTTAAAATGAATGATGGTATTTTGGGAATTAAAAAAATTCATTAAAGGTTCATCTCTGCTTCTTTTGAAAGCAGCTTTGAAAAGCAACCCATAGCCTGCTTTTAAAAGCTGCTGTCAAAAGGCCACTGCTTTTAAAATAATCGAGATATTTTATTTTTACCAAACACCTAAAACTGCTTAATTTTAAAGTGAAGCAGATTTTTGGCGAAAAAAAGCAATCCCAAACGGGACCTTAGTGTAGTGATACTTTTCTTTCTGCAGGGACTTTTTTCATCCGGCAGCTACAAACGAGTCAGGCTGCCGTAAAAAAAACTGGATGAACATTGATTGTTGCTCAATTTTATTTTTCATAAACCTTGAATATAATCACATTGAGTAAATCACTTTGCCTCTAAAAATTGGCGAAATTGAAACAATTTGGTGCGTATATAATTTGTGAAAGTAATTTGTAAATTGTGACGGAGTTAGAATTTCTTTTTTCATAACATGGTTTTTAAAAAATTTAAACAAATGTTTTCTTAATCAAAATATAAGGAGGGCATGACCACTTCAACCCTGTCCTTGTCCTTGTTTGTACACAAGCCATTTTTTTTTTTGGCCAAACACTAAAACGCTTGCCAAGTTTAGTTTCCACCTAACTATGCTTTTCCTAATGAAAAAGAAAATATCTTTCTATTTGGCTGCAGAAAACATGTATTAATTTTTTGTAGGGTAATGCCAATTTAGTCAGTCGCGTGGCAATATATTCCACTGATGGTACATGCATTGTGGGAAACTTATCCCACTACATTGTCACCCGCTATATATAGCGTCAAAGGAAAAAAGCTGTCCATGACGATCTCACAAGTAGCCAAGTATATTGACTTGCATTGTCCACTTGTGTACTATGTGGACCTAAGCCTTTCATTTTATCTTAGCCAAACTTGACTAATTCGCAACTTGAATTTTCATAGTGGGGATACCAAAATGTTAACTTGTCTTGATAATTGAATTAGTCTTTCAAATCTTGGAACCATTGAATTCGCGATGGAAACCCTTGTGAGAAGGAATCTGCTTAGTGACCCACATTTATGTCTATATCACTCATTACGTGACGCGAAAGCTAAGATTCTCTTATTATGTATTGTAAACATAAATGAAAAATTAAGTTGATTATTTGCAAACAACACGAATTCTTACCGTGTCACTTGCTTAGATTCTTGATGGTGAACACATGTAATTGACGTGTGTAATTTTTTCAATGTCAGATGTTGGACGTAATTGATGTTTCCTCGTAAGAATTGCCAATTAGGCTTGCAAATTGAAATTGGCAGTTGGCATACCAAGTTGTAAGACAAGACAACATTACTCTTGAATCCAAAGTATGTCAAGTCGTTTTGGTGGGAGAGAATGTTTCCCTAGTTTCACGGTGGAAAATGATGTTGATCTAGATGCAATGTGGTTTGGTTAAATGTATGTCCGGACTTTAAAGTTACTCATCATTTGTCTTCGAATAATGCAAGTACTGACTATGACAATAAGCGGTGTCATGTCATGTCTTCCTTGGAGTCGTTTCAAGTCCTTACAAAACATCTTAGCTAAATAAAAAAGTCTTTATAAAACATCAAAGGGTTTTTATCGCAAATAGTCCTTCACGTTTATGAAATTATCATGAATGGTCCTTGAGGTTTTTTTGTGACACTAATAGTCCTTAACGTTTGGGTTTTTTATCACAAATAATCCCTGCCGTTATAAATTCTGTTAAGTGTGACGTGGAAAATAAGTGAAGCACATTTGTCCAATTACATTGTGACATGTGGATAAAAAAATAATTAAATAATTTTTTAATGAAAATTCCATTTTTGTTTTCTGCAACTTTTCATTCCCCTTTCTTATTACTCCGTCTCTCTCCCCCTTTCGCTCTCCATCTCTTCTCCCTGTCCTCTCCTCCCTCTGTTTTTTTATTTCCCACTGCCACCTGCAAGAAAAAATATAAGATACAGGTGCTCTCCACCCTTTGCTTTCCATCTCTTCTCGCAACCCGCAACCCATGCCCAACGAATCTCTTCTCGCAGCCCTATCACACAAGGATGGTGGCCAACGAACATAAAGGAAGCAAGAACTGCAGCAATTCGCCAAAATAAGATGGGGAGATGAAAAACTGTGAATTTGGCATGTTATAAATCATTTTTTTCTTAGCCCTGCAAATGGGTCAAAAAGCTAAAAACACTCTGATTCACTCAAAAACATTTCAGCACATCTAACCAAATGAGAAGAGCCAAAATCTCGAGACCCCGGATTCAAGAATTTTCACAAACTGATACAAGGCAAAAGATGCAAGACATGACATGATATGTGGGAGGAGAAATCTGATTGTTCTCTCCCTGGTCCCTACCAACAAACCAAACAAGACAACATGCAAGAGCAGCCCCAAGAACACAACCTCAAAAAAAAAAAAAAAAAAAAACAAAATTCTAAAAACGAAGTACAATTTGAGCACCAAATCACAGAACAATACAATACCTATAGAAGTCTCCAAGGGGAATTGGGCCAGAAAATTGGGTCAGAAACCTGAACAGAAGCAATGGTACCCATGAACCAGCTGATCCTAGAAGAGTCCTCAGTCTCAAACGCCATCTTGAACCTCATTCCTGAGCACCACTGCACCCTCATGAAACCAGTAAACATGAATAGGTGGGTTGCAAGAAGAGATTCGTTGGGCATGGGTTGTGGGTTGCGAGCAGAGATGGAGAGTGAGGGCAGAGGGGGAGAGAGACGGAGTAATAAGGAAGGGGATGAAAAGTTACAGAAAAAAAAAAGTAATTTTCATTAAAAAAATATTTAATTATTTTTTATCCACATGTCACAATGTAATTGGACAGGTGGACTTCATTTATTTTCCACATCATACTTAACAGAAGTTATAACGGCAGGGACCATTTGTAATAAAAAGCTCAAACGTTAAGGACTATTAGTGTCACAAAAAAACTTCAAGGACCATTCGTGATAATTTCATAAACGTAAAGGACCATTTGTGATAAAAAGCCAAACATCAAATTCATATCTTCTTTTTTTAACGTCTCCTCCACACCAAGTCTTTTGTTTTTTGTTGTTTTAGAGAATTCCAAATCTTTATAAAAACTTATTCATCAATCAAATCTTGTGCTTTTAAAAATTGCACATTATCCATTGAAAAATTCCTGGATCTGCCAGTTGTTATATATGCTCAATTATCAAATGCAAAATTTCTCCCCATTATTAGCTTCACTCAAATTAAAAATCAAGTAAATAAAGGCAAAGGATTATCCATTTAACCAATATTGAGATAGCATGAATCATAGGGAAACCATGCGACGCAATAAATACATATTACATAACTAGGGTTTATGCGGTAGATATTATCATTTCAATTAAAATATGCACAAATGCAAGTGAAACAAGAACGTTATGCCAAACAGTTGATAGCAGAAGCTCCTATAAAAATAGCCACTACTAAACAAGGGTCCGAGTTCAGCGATCTCTTTAGCAATCACTCCGATACTTGTAGCAATTAACCATCATCTAGGCCATCTTCAACCGAAAGGAAGCATGTTGTCTCTGTGGTACCTGAGCTCAAAACAACCCCTATATGAGTTTATATGATAACAGCTAGCTCAACACTACTTTCATAACCAGTATTTCCAATTCAGAGCTTGGTACTTTGAATTGTCCTTGCATTTAGCCACTTAGTTATTATCAAAAGAGTTTCCTTGTTTATTGAAAACATTGTGTTCATTTATTCATTTGATCATAGTTAGATAGCTAAATGCTCTTCCATTAGGATGAATTTTTGCCAATATGATCTTTCACTGGAGATCTTAAAAGTAAACGGTTTGGATCAAGAGATATATTGTAGATTGAACTAAAACGAGTGGTTAGTGTCATATTAACTTACTAACTAGTTAAGACTTAAATACAACATACATTTTTTCATAAAGTCACCAAATCGATCTAAAATTGAAGTGAAATATGGTGTTGTAGATATTATTCATTATCTGAAATATAGTACAAAAATTTCAAAGAAACTTATGTACAGCTGCCTTCACGAAAACCCAACCCCTATTTGATTCTTCATGCGCCTTATTCAGTAGAATGATGCCACAAACTCCCCAAAATCCAACAGCAAACCCAAGCCCAACACTGAGGTAAAATCCCTGCGTGACCGGGTCCTTGTCTTCTTGATCACTAATTAACCACAGGTTGCTCATTTGACCATGTTTCCTCTAAACAACTACAAGTCTTTTGAAGTGGAAGTCGACAAAGTAAAGGGTTTCCAGCATAAGAAGAAGGATCAAAGCTTTGAAGCTGAGTGCCTATTGGAATTTTACTAGATAAGTTGTTGTTTGATAAATCCAAGACACCAAGACCACGTATCTGAGAAAGGCTTGTTGGAATTCTATGCATTTGGTTTCTTGATAAATCAAGGCAATCTAGTGATTGCACTTCCAAATCTCCAGAGTTACTTGACCTGTTAAAAAGTTTCTCGAAAGGTTTAAAGAAATTAACCCAACAAGATAACTAGATTTCAACAGAAATATCCGCTGCTAACCGATTGTTCGATAGGTGAATGCTCCTTACAAGACCCAAGAGTACCTTTGTATTTGGACATTATTCCTTTCCACATTAAGGATGCTTCATCATCATAACTATTCCCAGATAAAGTCCCATCTCCATAATCACTTGTATAGTTATAAGTGATTGTTAAACTTGAATTTCCTTTTTGAGTCAGAGCAGTTAAGATGTTGAGGCATTTAGGTAAAGTTTCAGAGATGTTGTTCATTGAAAAATTCCAAAATTTTAATGTGTGTTAAATGGCATAATTGTGATGGCATACTTCCATAGAAGTGGTTAGACAACAGGATAGACAAATTTGAAAGGCTAAACCCTGACCATTCAGGTATCAATCCTGATATAGTTTATTTTCTCCAACATCAAAAACTCGTAAATCTCTACAATTCATCAAGGATGAAGGCAACTCTCCCACAAATTTTTTGTCATTTAGTTTCAATGATCGGATAGAAACCTTACACTATAATCCTCCTATGAAGGTAAAACTACCTCGGAACACTCACGGTCAACCAAGGGTCAAACTACCCAAACTTGGTCAAACGGGCCCACGGGGCCCACAACCTCTAAATTCCGATCCGAAAGTTTCTATAGGTTCTACAAGATTTAGGACACACGTCCTGCAAGTTTGGTCCAAATCGAAAGGTTGGATTGCTCACGATCGCACGATCGGACGGTTACTGGAAACATAGCCCTAGGGTTGGCATTCTCGAAGTATTCGGGACTCCGTTTTACGATCCATCGAATCCTATACGATCTTAAGGATGCCTAGATTATCATATATTAAATTTAAGACGATCCAACGGTTCAAACCTATCGAACCCGGATAACACACAATAGGCGAAATCCATTCAAGATTCAAACGGTATCAAAATTGAAATCCGAGCACACCTACGAGGACCAGGAGGTTACATCGAGACACAATGCCCCTTTTCTACAGTGTCCACGCGCTGCCACAAGAGCCGACAGCGGGTGGGTGTCCAAAGCGATTACTCTTCGCCGTAAAATCTCAAAATCACGGCTCAAGACTCCTACCCTAGGTATTACACCCTATTTGGAACCACTTTTGTTCTTGGACCTACCCCAAAAAGTGACTGAAAGTGGCCAGGATCTCATCCCGAAATCCGGCCAAATTTTGGGTTACAAATCGAGTTGCCTACGCTAGAAATTGATTAAATCCTACCCAACCATCAACTAGAACACATTGAAAGGATAGAAAAGCATACCAGATTTGAAGAAAATGGTGGCCGGATGTGTACGAACGAGCTCTGCAAAATTCCGTCATAAACTGTCCAAACCGCCTTGTTTCATAGCGGTTTCCATCGACCACAACCGCGGATCGAGGCTGTTTATAAAAACTGAACTTTGAAATATTTACAGTTATGCCACTGAACTTCTTCGGATCACCATTTCTTCGTTACAACTCCGATTCGAATCCACTATGTGTCTACGGACTCATTTCAACGTACTCTACGCTACGGTACAATTGGAATTTCCAAATTCTTTGCCAAACTTAAAATGACCTTTTTACCCCTTATAATATTAAATAATATTTTAATTTCTCAAAAACGTTAATTATTTCAAATCATTTTATTTTAATGTTTATTTCAATTTATTTCCTCACTTAAATTTATTCACTCTTACTTTAATTATCCTAACACTTTTTCGGACCAAGATGTAACAATTTCACCGAAGTCTCCCCAGTTAACAAGTCCACAAGTAAACCTATTAAAATATTCCGGGGGAACATTGTCTTTTTCTTTAATAATTTAGTATTTAATTATTAGTTTAGGATCGGGTCGTTACAATCTACCCCCCTTATAAAAATTTCATCCTCGAAATTTCATACTTGTCACTTGAAGGGGTATGGATACTGGGCCTGCATTTACTACTCGGGTTCCCAAGTAATCTCCTTCACAACTTGATGTAATGGGAACTTAATTTCCCCCGTTTCTCGAACCCCACATGATGAGGTCTCGATCCGAGGGTCACTCAACTTCCAAACATTCCAAACAGGCCTTTAAAACATGGATACCACCAAAATGCATACTTAAATGCTGGGACTCAAATACCCTTTCCGACATTGTCCCCTATTCAGAACTTTAGTCCCTTGATCAAATCCTAATGAAACCAAATTTGGAACTTGTTAAGTTCTAAAGAAGAGGGGTCAAGCTAGTGACCAGCATGATGAAAATTATATATTATGCCATCATTGAGTAATCTAATCAGAAAAGGGTATTGGTTCATGTAGTGAACATCCACCTTATGCAATGCTTTACATCTCCTTGCCTCTAATTTGTTCACATAGCTCAAAGCGTTTGAATACTTCAGCATCAGAGACTCTCTGGCTCTAGAGTCAAGAAAGGTCACTACCATGTTGGCAGCCAAGCCAATAGCTCCAGCTAAACCAACAGAAAAAGAGAATTCTCCTTCTCCAAACTAAGAATATCTTTTAATAGTTGATGCAATGCTTAATCTTCCTCTGAAATTCCGAATTCTTTGACTTGTTAATATTTTCCTTCTTTCTTTAGAATTGACAGACGACGTTGTCAATGATACAATCCATCTTCCCGCACATGGATCTGTAAACTTCCTGAAGCTTAAGCCTCAAGCTCCTTGAGTAAATCATGACACCAATCATCTCTACTACTACAAAAGGTACATTCCACCCCAACAAGTTAAGGGGCTCAATGGCCTTACCTCTTCCAAACTAAACACGTGTACTCTACTAATCCGTACGCAGTCATATGGAACTTTGTCCCAATAGACTATCATTGTCATTCAGACATTTGCCTACCTAATCATGATACACTTGTCATCCTCCGGGTAGTGATCTCCGGTACCCTTATTTGGTTACAATCACAACATCTTCTAGCCTTAACTTACTACGATTCGACCAAATCATTTCCTGAACACACACTGAAATTTCCTTACAAATTTAATTTCCCAGCTCAAACCAAACAAACCTAGCAAATCAATAGTAAGATCATGCCAGGATCACATGAATTTCCTTGAGGTCTTGTCGACTCACAAGTAAACACTCATTACCCCAAAAATCATTACTCTCTAATTGAGTTAACTATCAACCGTACTTAACTCAAACAACATTAACCACTCAC